CACAACAGCTTCTGCAGGAACAGAGAATCCAACGTGGATCACTTTCCTTGCTGTAAACAGAGGGTAGAAGAGCAGAAGTGTTGAAGGACGGCTTCCAACAGCGTCAGGATAGCCAACGATGTGCAACAAGACACGGAAACCGAAAGTGCGGAGTCAGTATCACAGGAGGAAGAAATGGAACATTGACGAATGACCGAAAGACAAGATGAAAAAAGAAGCGAAATTAGAAGAATTTAGAAGTTTTAGAACTTCTAAACGACGAAAAAAAGAAGAAAACAAAGGAGTGATGAAGAAAAGTTAAAACTCACAATTGATTTATGTGTGTGAAAAACTCAAGTGAGAAACCAAGCAACCAAGTTGTAATTGAAAACTGAAACATTTAGTTGAGTTTTGAAATTGTTGCATTTATAAATTTGCATTTTGATTTTAGCTGAAGTGGCTTTAGAGACACTTATTATTTATTTAGAAAGGCTTAAGAGAAGAGTATATTTAAATATTCCAGCCTGCATGATTGTTTTTAATCACTTAGGAAGACTGATCACTTTGTGGTGACATGAAAGACTTGAGTAATCTTTTGAAGAGGGAGGTTGTTACATTGTTCTTTCTAACCACAAAGTTTCTTAGTTTTAATATTCCGGGCAATAACAAGCAAGATTTCCGAAGGGAAAAGCGTAGTAGGATAATTTTAGCTTGTTGGTTGGCAGGACTGTCCTGCAAGCCAACACCTTTTAAATCAGAGAGAAAAAGTTTTAATCGGGACATTGACACTGGAAGTCAGAAAATATGTTTTATTTTAGGTCATATCCTCAATGTGCAGATTAATGAAAGAATTTGAAGGCTATAGTGATGTAGTATGATGCCATTTGTAATCTGCAGTGAGTCGATGTGACGTGCATAAAAATAATTTCGTGCATTTTATAAATTCTGTTCGATGACACTGTAACCATTTTACGAACATTGCGTGATTCAATGAGGACATTGACGGGACTGTCCGGGGAGTATGTGACATTCGACCAGAATGTGAAAGATGCAATTTATGCAGATTTCGAATTTTTAGCAGTAAGCCTTCCGGATTGATGATTATTAAGAATTAGGAACGTTATTGGAACGATTGGCCAAACGGTGAGGGCTAGAATATTCTGGTATTTTAAAGTTTCAAAAAATCGAATTATGACGTCATATTTCTGAGAAACGTCAGAAACGGCCATTTTGACTAAAACGAGAGAGAAAAACAGAACAACATTAGCGGCGCTAACAACGACTACGAAATTGAGGTTGAAAAACGACAACTAGTTACAGAGTAACAGAAGAACACTCTGAGTTGCAACTATTGTGCTGCTACAATAGTTGCAAGGCCGTTGCGAGCAACGGTGAAGGGTGAAAGACGGCCTTCCGGATTAAGAGGAAATCAGGATTAACGAGCTTGATCCAGCGGATTCATCAATCCGGAAGGGTAAAGGAACTGAAACTTTTATCCTGTTACATAAACTTTTAGCTTCCTGTCATGTCCTGACTTGAATTTAATTGATATCTAGATTCATTTTGATAAGGATGAGAAGCTAGGAGTTGGGGGAAAGGGTTGATCTATCTTCGATGGAGATGATGATTTTTATCTACTGAACAAAAACAATAGTAATATAATAAATAGTAGTAGCCCTGTTTTTAGGAGTGACCTCGTGGTCTGGGGATACTGAGACCCAGCCATGAGCTCACTATTTCTGCATGTAATCTAGTTAATTTGAGTGTTTTGACCGAAGCCGAAAGCAGTAACGTTTTTGTCGACCCGATGTTAGAAAAGACCACCGAAAAGTACTGGCTTGGTAGAGACGGTGAAAAGCATGCAAAGCTCTGTTTAGACGCTAGCCAGTCGTCTTAAGACTTAGTTTTGTTTTCCGTCGATATGTAACCTCCGGGCGAATGTTACATTTCGTACATATTTTTTCTTGCTGTGTTACTGCTGTAATAGGATCTTGAGATTCCAGTACCAGTGATGTTTCCTTAGACCATTCTAGGTAGCTTTCATGATCGGATGGCAGCTTGATGTTAAGTCCGCCCACTTTAAGGGGTAAGGAAGATATCTCACCGAACTGGGGGTTTAAAGTGTCTTTACCGACTAGGTTAGGTAATAATTGTTCTTTGATATTATTTTCACATATTTCTAAGTTTTCCATAGTGTTAGGCGTTGTCCTGGCAAGAAATGAAAGCTTTTCTTGAACTCTTTTAGTATAGCAGGCATAAACTCTTTGAGGGGAGGTTTTAGCAATTTTGGTTAGTTTTTTCAAAATTTTGATTTGCTCATTCTGTTGAAATTCGAGGAACTTTTTACATTCAGATTCTGTTCCTATAACTGAACCAAGCACTCGGGCTCCTGCCTTTATAGTGATTCCTGTATTTGCGAAAATTTTCTGAGCTTCACAGAGATTTTCATCTTTGACAATGAGTTGGCATTTGGATGCTTTCACGTGGTAGCCAAAAAATTTACCCAGTGATTCAATTTTATCGAGGACGGTTCATAGATTGCTTAATTTACCGACTGCGTTTCCGTCGTCTGCGTACCATTTCCGGGTTACATCGTCTACTGATAAGAGTTTTATGAGGGGTTTTATGGCTAGACCGTACATGGCCAATGCTAGTGGATCCCCCTGGGTTGTCCCTTCTTGAGAGTAGATTGTTTTGTTTTTGTTAACGAATAGTTTAGATGGATTGGAGTAGGAGTTCTTAATCGCTGTTAAAAGGGAAGGGCAGGTATTTTCGATGTTTTTTAATGCCAGCTTTCGGTTCAGCGAGTTGAAAGCGTTTTCGGCACCTATCAGTAAAACAGTTTTGCTGTATTGATCTCTTAGCGTGTGGATCGCATATTCAATGCCACATTTTTGTCCTAGGCAGAGTTGGTAGTTTGAACCGAGGGACATGAGTTCGTTTTTTAGGCATTTAGTTATTGTTCGCCCTATTATCCTACGCATAACTTCTCCTATGCTTATGGGTCTTACCCCTGGATTCTTATCTAAGCGTATTAATCTGCATGCGTTATATGGTTCCATTAGTCCTGGATTTAGTTCTTCTGTGGCCAATTTTTTGGCAATTTTAGCAATTGTTTTTGAAATTTCAACTGATTGTTGCCCGAAGTGTGTTAGAATACGTCTCCATTCATTCGCATCGAGGCCAGATGGTCCATGCGATCCGTGCGTTCTCATGGCTGCCTTCTTGATATGTTGACTGTTTATCTGATCAAATATCGATGGATGGAAATGAATTGTTTCGTTTGAGACTGGTGTAATATAGTTCTCATTAATTGGTTCAGATGGTGGGTGTTTCTCTATGAGAGTCTGTTCAACTGTCTTACCTTGGACAATCTCGTCGAGCGAAAGAACGCCTTTAGATGTGTCTGTTAGTTTTGCAATTGCGCTTGATATTTTTCCAGTGTTCATTAGTTTGTTCAACTTTTGTGCTTCAGTTTCAATTTATCTTCTACTTCCTTTCAACAAGCGCATTTGCAGCGCCTTTTTTTTCGTTATATAGTCCATCCAGGTCTCCGTCTTGCCATTGCTTAAGTCGCCTTGCTATTGTTTTGGATAAAGATCCATCAATTTCGGACTTTGTTTTGCACAGTAATAAGTTTGGAAAAATCATTGCTGCGTGCATTGCGAAGGTATTTTCCTTGTTTTCTATTAGGCTGTTCAAAGTTCTATTGAGGGTTTCAATAAAGTTATAACCAACTTTATTTTTTGACAAGATCATAAAGACCGGTTTCCAGTGGACCACTTCGGTGTATATTTTCCTGGTGGTTTCTATTAGTTCTGGACAGGGGTTTGACCATGGGTCTTGTATTGTTCTGGGTTCTATAGTGGAAGACTCTCCTGAGTTTTGTGAGTATGGGGCAGTGGAAGGGTGAGAGTGCATTTGGGGGAGCGTGGTTGTAGCTAGGGTTGGGGGATTGCATTCATGCTTGTCGTTAGCTGAATGAAATTGGGAGGTGCAGCGATGACAACTGAAATCGTCATAGTGATCACTGCTGCGGGCTAGGCCGCTGCATTTTACATGCATGTAGCCTGAGCATGTGAAGCACCAAACACCTCCGCCTCGCAGGCTGCTTTTACAAATAAGGCAGTGTGTTTGAGTAGCCATTTTATCAAGGACGGCGGTGTCAAGTTAGCGAGAGAATTTATAGATTAAATTTGCAAGAAAATTTGTAAAGAAATCATTACCGTAGAACAAGAAATGGATGCCATCACGGCAGAACATTTGAGGGGTTAGATTTAGATTGAGGTTAGGCGAAACAATAAGTGTATAGGGGTGTACAAATCTATTTATCAAATTAAACAGCACATGATTATGAATATATATTTTGCGGTTTACTTCGGAATTATTACAGTTCTGAATTGTTTTGGGGATGATCAGTGTCTTGGGCTGAAACTTGTTAGTGACGAGGTTAATCAAGTTTTTCCACTGCTGTTCTAATTCTTGTGGATGCAGCCTGTAGTCATTGTATCCAGCAACTATTGTTACTGTATTTAGGCGCTTTGGTCTGTATTGTAAAACTGTTTCAAACAGATCATGAAGTGTTGCGCCGCGGTAGGAGTGAATTGTTGATTTTACTAGAGCTGGTTTGATATATTTGGCCCTTGAAGTCCCGATAACTAGTTTCTGTGAGAACTCAGGGATGCGTCTTGCCTGGAATTGCGGCATCAACCCGAAACACAGACAACTGGGGCTAGAAAAGAAGCTCCTTGGGGTGATTAATGAATACTTTCACATAGGTTTAAAGTTGCTGAGGCAAAGGCGATGAAAAAAAAAAGAAAAAAAAAGAAAGGAGTGGTACAAGCTGACGTCGATTTGGAGGTCGATTCACCAGCTCACTCCTTCTTGCGTCTAGTTACGCCAGGGAAACTTCACTCGCCTACGGCTGGGACGGCGAGATTTAGTAAGATAACCAGAAGAGGAAAGCCCAGCGCGCATATGATATGAAAACACACTAGCGGTAAATTTGAACAAAGAAATCTATTTAATAAGTTTATCACAACAATTAGGCTATTCTCAACAAGTTTCTATTCTCATTAAGATGTAACAGTCGCCTACTTAAGTCACATACGGGGTTAAAGAAAAATAGGCCCTATAACCATGGTAATCAGAAGGTCAAAAGTATCATAGTGACCGAGGTTACAGTCATGAATCCCTTCATCATGTATTCCAGTCAAAATCCTTGGAATTTTTTAGATATGGAAGTGATAATGATAAAAGAAGATGACAAGTGTTTAAGTCCTTTTCAATTAAAATTGATACGGGTTACATTTCTTCAATAAGAACACGCAACTCGACACGAGATAATATAATATACAAGTGTAAGTTATTTTGTCATTTATTGTTCCGAGTACGCAAGCGGCGTTCGCAATTTGTATTGGCAGGGAGATTCTCTGTTTTAAAAAGCTGCCTGCTCTGGGTTCCTCAGTGCATATGCTTAGGTTCCTACAAAAATTGCTCAAAAAAACTTCTGTGCTGGGGCCGGCCGCGCCCTGAATTTCAAAAGCTAGCGGTTGAAAAAGATATCCATCATTTACAAGATCTTTATACAATAAAATACTCTAAATGACGATAAACTATCAATTTACAAATGTTATTTACAATAAATCACATACAATTTGGTTCTAAACCATCATGATAAAAATTTAGCCAATCACAGTTGACCTCTAAACTACTATTAAGACTAAAATACTTTTAACCTCTAAAATTAATTAAACATTTTAAAATTAAGTTGTCTGGTAGTTTCTGAGTCATAATTTCGATTTAGACATGTACGTTATGAATAAAAAACCAAAAATATTTTGGGACTAAATTTTCAGTGACTAAATTTACACTTAAAATTTAGTCCCAAAATAATTTTGGTTTTTTTTTAAAAACGTACATGTCTAAATCAAAATTAAACTACCAGACAAATTAATTTTAAAATGTTTAATTAATTTTAGAGGTTAAAAATATTTTAATCTTAATAGTAATTTAGAGGTCAACTGTGATTAGCTAATTTTTTATCATGATGGTTTAGAATCAAATTGTATGTGATTTATTGTAAATAACTTTTGTAAATTGATGTTTTATCGTCATTTAGAGTAGTTTATTGTAAAAATCCTGACGATGCACATAGTTGCGAAAACGTTTGAAATTTACTTTTTAGCAAAAATTTCGTCAATTTTACTTGTAAATTCGTGATAAACCAAAAAGCGAAGAGCTTGAAATTCCAACTGTTTTCCCATTAAAAGGCCAGTATAAAAATTTTTAAGGATTTTCATCAATGTATAGAGATTTTTTATAGTGTTTTTTTTATCGATACGTAAAATATAGCCGATTTTTATTTGAATTACCGGAATGTTTCATATTGTAGCAGCTAGCTCCCTGTTCCACAGCATCAACAACCTTAACACAGGTGAGAAAAAGCAATACGAGAGCCTTGTTATAGCAATTCCTGGCCTATCCCTTAATAACAACTTGCTGAACCAAGGAAAGAACCTCCGACGACTCTTGGAAGACAGTCCACTGAAGGAGAAAAAAGTGGTTATGTGGCGCGACGTGGTGAACAAAACCATTAGCGGCCACAGAACAAATAACTATCGCCCAGCCGGTGTCGAGAAGCTGACAAACTATTTGAAGTCGAAGAAGCAGCAGATATTGGCGATGTTTATTGCAGAAGGGAAGGAACGGCAGACTTGTTTAGTCAGCTTCATGGAACAGGGGTGCTCATTATTCCAGCTACAAAACGGCTACTCTCCAAGAGCAAGCAAAACGACCCGGAGCAGCTCAAGGAAAATTTGAAGCTGCACCAGAGGGCTGATTTGGAGCTGAAGGAGCTGACAAACTATTTGAAGTCGAAGAAGCAGCAGATATTGGCGATCGTTTATTGCAGAAGGGAAGGAACGCCCGACTTGTTTTGTCAGCTTCTCGGCACAGGGGTGCTCATTATTCCAGCTACAAAACGGCTACACTCCAAGAGCAAGCAAAACGACCCGGAGCAGCTCAAAGAAAATTTGAAGCTGCACCAGAGTGCTTATTTGGAGCTGAAATCTCTGCGATTGGTAGTGGCTTACAAAGAAAGGCTGTCAGAGCTGATTGGCAATATCAGGGGCAAACAACAGAGACCATCACAGACAAGGAGGAAGGCGAAATCAAGACGTGAGCAGAAGCTGAAGGCAGCGGAAGTGTCTGCGCTTCAATGACATGGGCGAGAAGAGTGTGATTTGTTTTGCTTTGTGCCTTGTGAGTTTCATTACTCGTGGCCTGCAAAACAATGACCACAGTACTTTTGACTGCTGTTTGGCTCAGACAAATTAAAAAAAAAACTAACTTGGAAAATTGTGTTAGACTATTTAAAATTCTTTAAAAAAGTTCAAGTATCTGTACATAGACTAAAGTTTCTGAGAAAATGTCTGAAAAACGATCTAATACCGGACTTTTTGAAGTTTAGGGTCCCCGAGAACGGGTTTTTTTTTGGACCAAGCTGTGCATAATTTTCAATTGAAACTACTAAGGACTGAAACTTCTAGGGCAAATGAGGATAGGAAAAGGTACTAGGAGACGCTAAGGAAAGCAAGATCACTGGTGCAAAAAGAAATTGACAAACAGTGGTGGGCATCCATTTTCCGCTTCGTGAGGCGTCAAGTTGAGGCAAGCTTAAAGACAACATCAAAAAACCATAGAAAAAAGTTAGAAAAACTGTCCGAGAGACAAGATAAACCTATTGGGGGGAGAAATGAGCGATCAGTTAAGGTACTTGATAATATTGAACTGCCTGAATGGGTATATGAAGTGCTATCAATGGGCCCCAAGCATCCCATTAGAGACATATTTAACGAAACACATTTTTTGGCGGATATCGACATTTTCCTCTCACAATTGAAAAATCAAAAAACATCTGGTGAAACGTTATGTGAAATGGAAGCCGCGGCAAAGGCATATGCAAAAAACGTACGGCAAACCCCAAGAGACAAAGCCGTTGAAAAAACGAGGAAATATCTCAAAGATAATGGGTTACTGGCTGGGCCTTTTGATAAGGGGGTTGGTTTTTGCATAATGAGGAAAAAAACATATGAATCAAAGCTGGAATCCATGTTGCAATCTGCTCAGTTTGTGAAAAAAGATGCAACCACTGATGAGGTGATACCGAAAATTGAGAAGGAACTTAACAAAGAATTACTACCCATGAACAAAAGAGACGAGATAAGTGATCAGTTATATTCTAAGATGAGATCAACAGGGGGGCAACCCGCCCGTTTGTACGGTTTAGCTAAGGTAAACAAGGATGAGACATCCCTACGACCTGTACTATCACTTCCCGGCAGCTCGTATGAGAATCTTAACAAAATGCTTGCAAAGTTTTTTGACAACATCGATGGAGCAAATATAGAAACCAATACTAAAGAGGCTAGAGAAAAAATAGAAAACCTTGCTCTAGATCCGGATGAAACCATAATATCTTTTGATGTGAAAAGTTTGTACACCAACGTTCCCCTGAAAGAGGCAATTGAAATTGCTTTATAGAAGCTGTACAGCCAGGAGTCTCCTCCTGAAATTCGAAGAGCAACCATGAAAAGGCTTTTGAACATGGCGGTCAGTAAAGTATATTTCAAGTGTAATGATTCATGGTATGTACATGTTGATGGTTTAGCAATGGGCGCGTCCCTCGCTGTAATTCTGGCAAACTTATGGCTGAAAGAGTACGAATTTGCTCTACGACAAAAAATACCGGTGGGAACGGGGGTACAGCAATTTAATGACAAAAACGGCTTGTGCCCATGTTGCAGCAGGAAAACCACATAGAGATCAAAGGGGGTTGAATGCGAGAGTTGCCGAAACTGGTATCATCTAAAATGCGGAAAAATACCCGATGACGTATACGCATCAATAACCGAGATAGTCTGGTACTGTGAAAGCTGCTGCCGAGCTAAGAACAAGGAGAAGAATACTCCCCAGGTGAAATTGTTCCTCAGGTATGTGGGTGACATTGTTAGAACAGTCAGAGGGGAGCCGAGTTGTCTTCTCGATGCCGCCAATTCTCTTCATCCAAATTTGCAGTTCACTCTAGAGAAAACTAATTCGGAGGGGAATTTGCCGTTCCTGGATTTGAACATAAATGTATCGCAGGGTAGTCGTGTAACTTGCAGTTGGTATCAAAAACCAACAGATATAGGGACTATACTGAACTATAGAAGCTGTGCCCCAAATCAGTATAAGCGTAGTGTTATCCAAGGCACTGTACACAGGGTTTTAGGAGTACATCTAGCTGGGAGCAATTTGATAAGGCTATGGAAAGTAATAGGGCGCAATGGCTGACAAATCAGTACCCTGAAAATTTGTCCGCAAAGGTGGCTTCAGACGCCTTGTGCAAGATCATCGAGGGTAAGGGCAAGCCCCTGGATAGTGACAGGGGTTTGCCAGTTCAATCACCAAAGGATGGGAAGCCCCCAATGCTGAAGGTGCAATATAGAGGTAACCAGAGCCAATATTTTGCTAACAGGTTACGAAAATTAACTAACGTTCAAGTGGTTTTCAACACAAGAAAACTACACTCATGTTTACCATCACTGAAGTCAGCATTTTCTAATCACCTGAAGTCAAGAGTGGTTTATAAACTGTCATGTAGTGGATGCACTTCCACCTATGTCGGACAAACTGTTCGACATTTGACCACTAGAATTGAGGAACATAAGAAAGCAGACTCACCGGTAGGCATCCACCTTCAGCAATGCCAACTTGAGGGAAATAGCGCAGATCTTTGTTGGAAAATTATAAATAGGTCAAACAACCAAACAAAATTGCTAACACTAGAGGCAATACAAATCAGGAAAGAGAAACCGGGCTTGAACACGTGCGATGAGTTTAGGAGCAGGGAGTTAACACTGAAAATTTAGTCCCAAAATAATTTTGGTTTTTTGTTCAAAACGTACATGTCTAAATCAAAATTATGACTCAGAAATTTCCAGACAAATTAATTTAAAAATGTTTAAATAATTTTAGAGGTTAAAAGTATTTTAATCTTAATAGT